TTCTGGGATTTGGATCAGCTGATAGGATAAGGGATTATCCCTATCCACTCAAAGAGTCCAGATCCAAATAAAGATTTGGATCAGGAAACTCCTAATTTGATTAGGAAGGTTGATCTTTATCTACAGATAAGATAAGGGATTATCCTTATCTCTTAAAGAGAGTCCAAATCCAAATATAAGATTTGGATTAGAAAACTCCTAATAGGATTAGGAGAAGCTCTCTTTATGGCTATAAATTGGAGAGCAGGGCAGACTTCCAAAAAGACTCACAGTCTGCTAAATAAAGAGAGAAGACAACTCATAGTTTGACTGCTCCTGTCTTCTGCTCTTTTCTTCTTGTTCTTGCCGCCCCTACCCAGTTCGATCTCCACCTGTGGGAGTGATCAAGAAACGTTCTTGATATTGCTTCTTGCTAGAAGAGGCAATCTGAAGTTGTGCTCACCAGTCCTTTACTAAATTCTTGCTGAAGAATTCGGTTCTTGTTGAAGAACCGTCCTGCTGACTCTGCTTCACCTCACATTGTGTCATCTTCAGTGGGAGCAGATTTTGGTTTTCTCCTTGGGCGTGAACACCTTCGTTGGGAGTTACTGTTACTCCATATTAGGTATATCCCTCTCCTCCCTTTCGGTTTCAGATCTGGTTCGGTTTGTTTCAAAATTGATCCTTGAAAATGCAGTTTTCTAAAATAGGGAATGTGATTCCCAGATGGGAGAGATAGAAATTTTTGAAATTTCGCCCAACCTTCCTGCAAGGTTCGGCCATCCATATGATGGATCTCTCATCCCTTCACCACCAGCTAATGACTAGATTAAGCTTAACTTTGATGGGAGTAGTTCAAGTAACCCAGGTCCTTCCAGCAGTAGAGGTGTTAAATGGTGAAGGCAGAATTATTGGTTTATTCTCAGGTCCAATTGGTGTAGGGGACTCTTTAAGGGATGAAATTGTGGTCGTTATGGAGGGAATTAAAAGGGCAAAGGATATAAACTTAAGTAAGCTGATTATAGAAAGTGATTCAAAGCTGGTAGTGGAATGGCTGTGAACGGAAGAAGCGGGACTCAGGAATTACAATAGTGAAAAAAAGAAATTCAAGTGGCTGACACAAGATATGGACGTGAGACTTAGACTGCATTTGGTATTCCTTATTTTAAGGACTTATCTCCTTTTTGCAATTAAAAACTCAGTGTTAATAGGAACATTTTAACAGCAAAAAGGTGATAATTCCTTAAAGTAAGGAATGCCAAATGCAACCTTAGTTGGGTTAAAAGAAGTCAATTGTTTTGGGCTCAATTGTAATTTCTTAAGCTTTTGAGAGTTTAGAAAGTCTACCTCTCCTCTTTTATGTATTCATTGTACTCTTATTTATATTTGCTGTTATTGATCAAAAAAATAAAAAATTACCTCAAAGATGATAAAGATATCAGTTACAATAAAAACACCTCAATGGTCACCTAAAGCAGAATGTCCACAGAATTTGCACTGTCTACGATGTGTGAAGTAAGAGAAGGGTTGGGGCAAAAGCAAGTTAGCATCCACCATGCTGTAATAGGAGATTTAATTATGCTATAACTTTATTATTTGGGCTACTGCATAGGATCATCAAAAATCAAGAAAAAATAGATAATAAAAAGTGGATTCATTGATGACAATTTCCAATGCATTCATAAATTGGTTTCTTGGTGAAAACTTATGAAAACAAGAATTTCAAAAGTTTATAGCATATCCAACACCTTACATTTCTTTTTTAACTTTTTAATGGGCAATAGGTCAGTGTTCATCTGTCAGTGGTTAGGGTTGATAAATGATAAGGAGAGGTTGATCCCAGGACTCAGGTTCAATTCCTCCAAGACCTTGATACCATCATCAACTAGCATCTTATGAATTAACAAAAGCTTTACAACTAAAGAAGAATGATACATTAAATAGAACATAAAATAGACATTGATTTGTGCACATATCACTATTATGGTTTTATCAAGAAACAGTGAAACCACCCAAGTGTAAAATCTAACCTTAACATCACCTGTTCCAGGAAAGAATTTGTCCCCATATTTGTGAAAACTAACAGTCATCACCCTGTCATGTAGAACTGTGTTAATCCAAACCAGAGAGACGGCGAGGGGGAAAAATGAAATCCTCTCATACTTCAAAAAAAAAAAAAACTACATAAATAAAATCATATTCATTCATGAGAATCATAGATTAGGGAAAAAATATTCTTTTTGACAGAATGCAGATATGATGAACAGCTAGCAAATATTTGGATGTGCCAATTAGAGGACTTTTAGTCTATTTCCAACAATAGTGTCCCTGATGTAAGACAGAAAGAAGAAACATCCTATTAGGGTGAACATGGTGGATAAACAGGAAGAATTAGGGACCTTAATCATGAGAGAGAGAGAGAGAGAGACCTGGCCACAATTAGAAATCATTAAAGAAAACATTTATTCATCAAAGAAACTCTTCTAAATTTTGGTTCGTATGATAGTGCGAGCTGGGAGCTCTATTCCAAAGAAGGCAGAAATTGTGGCCGGCAAAGTCCTATATTTAGTTAGGATCTGGCCGGAAAAGCTGCCGTCAGCTTGTAGATGGAAGCAAGAATTCCCAGGAGGAGAACAATACTATTGAAAGGCCAAAGGTTCGGAGATCTCGAGAACAATAGTCCTTGAAGAAGAAGGAGAAAACTTTGCTTCAAAGGATAGCAGGAGGAACCGCTCAGTCAGCCTCCTGTCCCCTAGAGAGATGCAGGTCAGAACGCCTCCTACCAGGACTGCCAGAGAAGGAGAGAATGATGGGGGAAACAGAAGCATTGATAGCCATCCGATTGATCTTCAGTTGAATGGCCAGGATTCGAGAGGACAAACAAAGCCCAAAGAAAGTTTTCAAAATTCAAATTGGTTTAGGGAAGAGGGTTTTGCTGTCAAGAAGTTAAAGCTGCTAGTTAAAGAGTGCCTGGCAAAATTACAGGTGGCAACCCCAGGGGCAGACAACCAAAAGGAAAAGGAGGATGCCTGGGTGGGGCCAGGCCAGGTGATTCTTCTTGCACGCCTAAGAGTTCGGGGAAACGGATGGTGGATACACACGCCCAGGCAAACAACCCAAATTGTTTCCCATGTTGTCTCCTTTTCCCCTTACTCCCAGAGTTTTTGGATGCGTGTGTTTCGTTCATAATCTTGGGCCTAGAATGGACAAGTTAGAAGCTAGATCCACTAAGTGTGTCTTTCTTGGCTATTCCAGGACTCAAAAAGGGTACAAGTGTTATAACCCTCATTCTCGGCGTTCTTTTGTGTGTTCTGATGTTACATATTTTGAGTCTATTCCTTTCTTCTCCAAGTCGGATACTTCTCCTCTGTTGCCATCACCCCCTCTTCCAGTTCCGGTTGTGACCCAGTCTTCGCCTCCAGTGCAGCTACCTGAGAGAGAACCACATATCCGGCAAGTGTATACACATCGTCAGGCATCAGCTCCTCCCCTAGCTTCGTCACCATCAACAGATCCGGCAATTGATCCCACCCCAGTCCCAACCCCAAGTTTTGACCTTGATCTTCCTATTGCTTTGTGGAAAGGTAAACGTAATTGCACTCTCTATCCCATTTCCAATTATGTTTTTGTATCTCACCTTTCGGCTTCCCATCGACAGTTTGTTTCTATGTTATCCTCTGTCTCTATTCCCAAGGATGTCCAGGAAGCCCTCACTTCTCTAGGGTGGCTCCAAGCAATGGAAGAAGAACTCTCGGCCCTGACTCGTACTCATACATGGGACCTCACCACTCTTCCTCCTAGTAAGCATGTGGTCGGATGTAAGTAGGTGTACATGGTTAAATACTTACCTGATGGGAGTGTTGAACGGTTGAAAGCTCGGTTAGTTGCCAAGGTTATTCACAGCAGTATGGTATTGATTACATAGGCACCTTCTCTCTGGTTGCCAAAATTAGGTCAGTTCGTGTTCTGATTTCTCTTGCTGCTATGTTTGATTGGTCTTTGTTTCAGCTTGACATCAAAAATGCCTTTTTACATGGTGATCTTCTTGAGGAGGTGTACATGGAACAACCACTAGGGTTTGTTGCTCAGGGAGAGGGTGAGAAGGTATGTAAACTTAAGAAGGCTATTCATGGATTTAAATAATCTCCCCGTGCATGGTTTGGGAGATTTAGTGAAGTGGTGAAGAAGTTTGGAATGAAACAGTGTCAGGTTGACCATTCCGTATTCAGCTATGAATCAAATGCTGGGAAGATTCTCTTGGTGGTATATGTAGATGACATTGTTATCACAGGCAGTGACAGACCAGGAATTGACAGGTTGAAGACTTACTTGCATGATCACTTCCAGACAAAGGATCTTGGCAAATTAAGATACTTACTAGGGATAGAGGTTGCAAGGTCCAAGAGTGGTATTAATCTGTGCCAGAGGAAATATGTTCTTGATTTGCTAGAAGAAACAGGGTTGTTGGGTGCCAGACAAGCTGAAACACCTATGGAACTAAATGTTAGATTGGGTAGTGATACAGGTGAGGAGTTTGAGGATCCGGGAAGGTACAGAAGGCTAGTGGGTAAGCTTAATTACCTAACCATCACTCGACCTGATATCTCATTTGCGTCAGTGTAGTGAGTCAATTTATGCAGAATCCTAGAATCCCACACTGGGAGGCAGTCCTAAGGATTGTGAGGTATTTGAAGGATGCTCCAGGTCGTGGTTTGTTGTATAAGAGTGGAGGAAGCCTTGAGATAGAGGGATACACGAATGTTGATTGGCCTAGGTGCATATCTGACAGAAGGTCCACTACAGGGTATTGCACTTTTCTTGGTGGGAACTTAGTGACATGGAAGAGTAAGAAGCAGATAGTGGTAGCAAGAAGCAGTGCAGAGGCTGAATATAGGGCTATGGCTCACACGACATGCGAACTGGTGTGGTTGAAGCGTCTACTAGAGGAGATGGGATACTCGATTGACACTCCTATGAAGCTATACTGTGATAATCAAGCTGCAGTTCGTATCTCCTCTAATCCAGTGTTTCATGAAAGGACGAAGCACATAGAAGTGGATTGCCACTATGTATGTGAGAAGGTGCTTAGTGGAGTGATAAGTACAGCATATGTGAACACAGGAAATCAATGGGCAGATCTGTTTACCAAAGGGTTGAATCAGGGAAGAGTGGACTACATATGTAACAAGCTGGGACTATATGACAGATACTCACCAGCTTGGGGGGAGTGTTAGAGCCGGCTGTACAAGGGTAGTACAGTCCTTTTATGTTTAGTTATATATGTACTGCTCAGCTGATGTGGCTCTCACTTAAGTGAGGGCACAATGGTAATCCTTGTATATCTTAGAAGAGTATAAATAAAAGAAGGGCCGACTAGAGGGATTTAATTTTTGCTCTCTAGTTCGGCTGTGACCTTTTCTCCTTCTTTTTCTTCTCTTTCTTCTTCTCCTTCTCTCTCTCTCTCTTCCTTCTCTTTCTTCTGATCTGAACATATATGAACATCTAATCTGAGTTTTATCAGAACACCTTGCATCATGCTTCCGCGTTTTAAAACATTGGTCCTCACACCATAGTTGCTACCTTGCTGAAGTGCAGACCACACAATTTAGTTGTCAACAGAAACTGGTTTATTATATTGAGAATGGTGTTTTCTTGGTTGCTTATATTGACAAAGCTTGAACTTTGGACATCCTAGATTAATATGTCTACCATGTCATTCATTAACTCTAGTCCAAATTCTTGCATGTTTCTTCAACTCCACTCAATCCTGCGAACAAAACAAGCAACTTCCAGTACCTGTCAGTGAAATAGAATGCTTCTTCAACTCCATCACCATGATGCACATCAATATCAATATATAGAACCCGTGCATGATATTTAAGAAGTTCCAGAATACCCAAGACTAAGTCATTCATGTAACAAAAACCAGATGCTCCACACTTCTTTGCATGGTGTAGACCACCAGCCCAGTTTATGGCAATGTCACAAAGTTGATTATTCAATCTGCGTGCAGCATCTGCTTGCAACATTAAATGAGTGTTAAGAAAATCCAAGCATAACCTTTTTTGAAGTTTGCTACTTTTTTCCAATTTGAAACATGCAATAAATTCTTAAATCAATTTGGTGTCAAGTTATACTTCACCTATTGTTCCTCCTGCATAAATTTGACAGAACTCAAACAAGTTGTCAAAAACTGGGCAATCATCTCCAAGATTATCTGAAGGAATAGAACAAGGAAAGGAAAAAATGGTTTTGTTGATAATTATAGAGGACCAAAAGGGAAAAAGACTATAATTTATCAAAAAATTTGTAATTTAACTGGATAAATCAACACCCAAGTTGATCCAAGAAGACAGGTTGGCTCACATATGAACTCCAAAAAAACAAAAGAAAAAATAGAAGAGCAAAGTAATTACAAACGCTTAGCAAAAGATTAGGTAATAGAAGTATGCAAGTAACTAGATATAATGAAGCAAGAATGTCTACATAAAAGAAATGGATATGTTTCTCCAACAACAAGGCAGTCTCTTTCCTCCATGCACAAGGAGCTCTCTTCCGTTGCATACAACACAACTGAACAAAGCCTTATTCCAACAATGGAGAAATTGAATGGTCAACTAGAATAGGTTTAAAAGATTTCTCTCCCTCTATGGCAATACATTTACATTTCTGTTTATCAGAAAAGAAAGAAAAAAAAAACTATAGGAGTTTCCAAATTTTTTATCTATTTTACAATTTTGAGGTGGTATTATTATATTTCAGTCATTTTGCACATTGTATGTGGTTCATGCCTTAGGATTCACTTAGTGGGTCAAATTAGAACAATATATTAGGCATTTTGACTTTTTGTTTAGGGTTGTTGGTTCCAAGAACACTTGTCCCTTAAATGTGTTAGAGTTTTAGTTTTGTCCCCTTTTGGTTTTGTTTGGTTGTAAGAAAGTGACTTCTAAGTAGGTGACAAATAGGTGAATGCATATATAGTCATCCTTATATACATTAAGGAAATTATAAACAGATGCCAAGTAGGTGAGAAGAAAATGATAAGCTAAATGTTTAATTTGAGTAGATGACAGGCAATTGAAATGAGTAGAACAAGGACAAGCAACAAGTAGGTCATAAAAGTGGAATAGACAACAAACAGATTGCATAAGTAAATGAGACACTAAACAGGTGACAAAAATTGAAAAAATTACTTGCTTATGAAGATATCTCTTAGTCCAAGTCTATATATAATCTTGAACTGTGTTCTTCGAGAAAAATCATTTAATGAATTTGATGATTCCCAAATCCTAGTGAATTCTATCCCTGCCCCCAAAACCCTGGTTGAGTGATTCCAGGTTTTCTCTCTTCTCTAGTTCCCTCATTCTTGCAGGAATACATCCTCTTAAGATTTGGAGAAGTGGATTAATCTGCACCATAGACCTGGAAATCCATTCATCATTTACAAGTAAGACTCACCATTTACTTCTAATCCCTAAAATCCATTCATTAACCTTCCTACCACTAGACAACATTCTTTTCGGTAATAAATAAGAAGAAAATTTATTAAGAAGAGAAGATAATACAAGAAAGGTGATAAGATATCACTCAAATGCAAAGAAAAGAAAAAATAGGTTTCTCTACCCAATCTTATCAAAGCTCCCAATAGGGACAACAGCTCCAATCAAAGCACACAAGAAAAAACTTAAAACTCTACCCCCCAGTCTTATATGTACCAACCCACATCCAACGATAGCAAGGCCATCAATCACCCAACAGATTACTCAATCAATCAACATTCCTGGACTCTCAATTCCATGCCTCTTTACTTCTCTTACTTTCTTTGTTTTTTTTTTTACCTTTTTAATGGACCCAGCCCCAAATAGTCCCATCTTTAACCTAGACAACATCCTAAACCCCTACCTTTGTTTAAACCTTAGATTTCCCGAATTTTCTATACTTCTCCTTTGACCCTAGACCAGCTATACTTTGCTAAGATTCCCCAGCAATCCTACCCCACCCAACTATCTGGACTTTGCTACATGAATCCTGCTCGGTCATCAACTAGTCAATTGAGGACCATACTGACTGCTTCACTAACTACTCGATCAATACTCACAATGTAGTCACTTAGTTATACTAAGCATTGACTAGGTCAACCTAGTCAAACATAAAGTTTTTTAAAACATTATTTGCTGTTTTTGATAAGCAACATTATTTGCTTGTTTATCAGTATTTATTTAACATAGTATCACATGTACTTTTTTTCAGTACATTCATGCTAGTTGCTTTTAGCATTTGTGGTCATACATGATTGGTTGATACTATTTAAATAGAAATAAGTATGTAATAAAAGAAGATGGTGGAGTTTTTGAAGAATACAGCTTTGTTATGGCATGAGGTTATAGCTAGTATTCATGGTCACTCAAATAATGGCTGGGATGCTGGTGCTTTTTGACAGGCTACTTTTACAACTCATTGGAAAGTGATTCATACATCCTTCCCCAATTTCTTAATCTTGTCAGGTATGATGTTTGCTCAGGGAATTCTGTTCTCTTTTGGGAAGATGTCTGGGTGGGAAATTCAGCCTTAAAAGACCTTTTCCCTTCTCTCTACTCTATTTACTTGTTTAAGAATAAAAGACATGTCTTTAAATTGGGATTTTGGCTTCCGTTGGGGCTTGAGGGCATAGTTGCCTAGGCGCCCACCTAGGCAACAAAAATGACAAGGCAAGCGCCTTTTATATTATCATGTATATTGACATTCTTATTAATGTATGCGTTAATACATTTTATTATATTCTATATATATATATATATATATATATCAATTATACTTTGTTTTAATGTTTTACTATTGAAATTTAAAAAAGATCAAAGGATTTTGAGAGAAAAAGAAAGAACGAAAGAATAGAATAATAAAGTTAATAACCTTCTTTAGCTGCTAATTGATAGGTGTTGAATAACTTAGTTTATTTTTCAGTTTAGTGCCGCAAGGGCACATTTGTAATTACACCTTTTTTTATTTCTGTTTGGTAGCCCTGGTATAAATATTAAAAAGGCTGGCACCACCAGCTGACTTTTTTTCTCTTTTCTCTCTTCTCTCTTCTCTCTTCTCTCTTCTCCTTCTCTTCTCACTACTCTGGAATCGCACTACCTCTTCACCAAGAAAACATGGTATCAGAGCAGCAGATCCAATCTTAGGAGCAGGGCGGCAGATCCAATCTTCCTTTTTTGTCTATTGGTGATCGAATCAAAGAGAAAAGATCTCTGGTGGACGTGTGAGGGAGCTTACTGCGATTTTTTTTTCTCTTTTGGCCGTGAGCCCAAAAATCATCAAGGGGGAGAGAAGCCGAATGCTATGAGTTAGTTTTTTCTTCTTTCTTCCTCAGTTTTGTGGATCGAACTGATCCTTTTGTACCCAGGTGAGTAGGTTATGTGGGTCTAATGACCTGCGGCTGGTGTGAGAGTGTCTTCTCTCAATGTATGTGGATCGAGTCGTCCTCCTTATGCCCTGAAAGGTGGGCTTTTCAGGTCTGCAAATCTGTAACTGCTGTGACAGCAGTTTGTTTCCTTCTTCTGTTCATATTGAACCTAAGTTGCTGTGTGAAAGTTGATGATTTATTGCTGGAGGGACTGGTCAGACCTGTTTTTTGATATGCTTTGCACATCTGAACTGGTTTAGTACGGCTGAAATCTGAGAACAGTAATGGTGTGTGATCAGTTTTGATTACTCTGTGTGAGAACAAGTTTCTTGTGTCCAGAATTGGCTGAACTAAGACTTCAACCTGTTTAACTGTACTGTGAGTCTGGACTGAACTGAAAACTGTTCTCTAGCTGGGTTGCGACTGAACCGAATTCAGATTCTATGTCTTCTGAGGATTCTGGTATGTCTGGTGTAACCTCTAGTTAGAGTGGGATGAGTGGAGGTTTTGACATGAGTTTCCCCATGGCTGTGATTCCCTTTGATGGCCTCAACTACCTAGAATGGTCAAGGGGAACCAAGCTCTACAAAACTGCAAGGGAAAAGTGGGGTAATATCAATGGTAGAATCAGAGAACCCCAGTCTAGTGGCGTGGAACATGATAGGTTTCAATTTGGAAGGAACTAGATCACTATCAGAATATAGACTGGAAATGTGATGTAGATGCCAAAGCATACAAGTCTCTGGTTTCCTAGCAACAAGTGTTTGCCTTTCTCTTAGGGCTGAATTCCACATATGAATCTATCGAGGTTCAGATATTGGGGAGTAAAGATCTCCCATCAGTACAAGAAGTATATGCTCTAGTACAGTCAGAAGAGAGCAGAAGGAATGTGATGAATAATCCTGAGGGAAAGCATATTGCATTAGCAACTAAAGGGAGTGTTGCTACGGGTGGTGGAAATTCCTTCAAGAATAGTGACTTCCAGGAGAAAGTTGATGAGAAAGATAAACTATGGTGTACACATTGTCAAAAGTCTAGACATACTCGGGAGACATGTTGGGAGCTTCATGGAAAGCCAAAGTGGGCTCAGGAACTGAGTAAAAAACCAGATCAGAATAAGAAGCCAGGATAGCAAGGTTAAAGGAAGTTTAATGCAGCAAACTTAGCCTCTCAAGAGCCTCAATCATCTACCACTACTATAAGTCCTTCCGTGACTGATCCGAGGGAAGATATCATTAATTCTTTCTGTGACCATTTGGAGCTATATGGGAGGGCAATCTGCCAGATAGATTCTGCTTCTCCCCCCTCGACTTCCTTTGCATCTACATCAGGTAACAGTAATTTTTCCACAGCTTTCCATGTGTCCTCTCATCCCTCAAACTCTCCTTGGATGATAGATTCTGGAGCCTCGAATCATATGACAGGTAAGTCCAATTATTTTCAATCTTACCATCTATTATATGGTCGGGATAAGGTGAGACTTGCTGATGGTTCTTTCTCCACCATAGTTGGTCAAGGAACCATCTCCCTTCCCCTTGGACTCACCCTCTCTGATGTTCTCTGTTGAGAATGTAAGGGCATTTATGTCCTTTCGTTCTTTTTTGTATTTGGATGTCTATTCAAGGGCTCATTTGTAATTTTCTTAAAAAAGTTAAAAAGGCTCTTCAGGTGTGAACAGTAACACACCTGATTTCTTCGACAGACTCTTCTTCCTCTCTTCTTCTTCTTCATCTCCACCTTCTCTTCTTCTTCTCAAATCTCAAGTACTTTAACTTGGTATCAAAGCATCAGAAGATCAAGGAGAGCATCCGCCA